CTTTTAAGTCGAGGCCTAAGGCAACTTCGAGCTTGGCTAGGTGTATTAGAGTCTCCCAAGGGACGTATGGTGTGTGTTTCTGATGTGTTTAGGAAAAGATTCAAATCAAGAGGGAGAGAAAAGAATAAGCTTTAGCTCAGAGAGAGAAGAGATGATGATTATTGGTGAATGAAAATGGAAGAAGTTATCCCTTATTTATAGTGGAAAAAAACGACCAAAAAGATCAAAAAAGAGTCATAATTCGAATCAGAATAAAACTCCTTTCATCACGAGGCGATAGGAATATCGCGGCGCGATGGCTCCATCGCGGCCTTATGGAATTATCGAGGCGCGATTTAAAACAGTTTTTTTACGGTTTTTGTTTTTATCATATCTTTTGATCGAGAAACCGAAATAAGATAAATAATATGTGGGGTGGAAATCTCTTGAAGTCTAATTTGCAACACATTTAAAATCAAAATAATATCTTTTGTAGAATAAAATATATGGAAAAAATAGTGAAAGGGTGTCAGTTTTGGATAGAATTTGGTATTTTATTCATATCTTTTTTGTTATAGCTTAGAATTGGGATTATGATACATCATTGGAAAGATAATTTCAAGGTCTATCCTTTGGATGAAAATTATGAGGCATTAAATCATATATGAACTTCTTTCATTTCGAATATAATTAGGATTTTCAAAAAGAGGAGTTTTATTTAATTTCAAACTCTTGATCTTTATCTTTCGTAAAGGATAGATTAGAACCTTCTAGAGACTTTTAGAAACTCATAATAAATCCAAATTGGTTTAGTAATGGGATTGAGGTTAATGGAACCTCCACATGATCATTGGGTCCGTTGGTAAGGCTCGGTTTGGTCCAATTTAGTATTTTGCTCATAGCTTCCTCGTTATAACTCAAATTTGGAATTATAATATATTGTTGGAAAGCTCTTTTCAATCCTCATCCAACTACACAATTTTTGGACCTAGATTATGGATAAAAATAAACTAGATTGGAAAATTTTATAAAAAGGACACAAAATAAATGATTTTGGAAATACGAAATGAATTATTCAGAATTAAAACATTTTTTTAGAAAAGGGGTAATTTTTTAGACCCTTCAAAATTTCACCTTACTCGATAATCAATGACGTGAAAGATACTCATCAGTTGGTTTGATTTTTGGGGAGACACAATAAGGTGTCTACAAAAGCCCCCACTTTGACTAAGTTTGGAGAAACATAAGTTTCGAAAACAAAAATTAAAGTAGTCGATAGGGACGGAGAATGATTTGAAATCCTTAATCATTCTTTTAACACCGATACCCTGCAAACTAGCGTTAGTTATACAAATAAAGGAGTTAGAAATGTGTATCTTGCACCGTCTTGTACACGCCTCTAGGTAGCATCTTTTGCTTTATTTCACAACCTCAAATATGCTTCATGAACACCGCCGAGGTAACAGTGCTTCATTATCTGCATTTGTAGTGACAATCTTCCGCATCCTAGGGAACATTGTCGAACGTGACCTTGCTTCACCATCTTTATTTTTGTGGTAATGTCTTGCCACGATAGTGCTTCGCCGCTTCATTATTGTTGTTGTGGCCGTGCTTTTCCACGGAAGTGCTTCACCGTTGTTGACAATCTCCTTCATGCTTCGAGACATCGTTGACGACCGCAGTGTGTCGTCATCTTCAAAATCTCGTCATTGCTTTGATGTGACCAACTAATGCTGACAACCTCCACACCCTAGAGAAAGCCCTCGAAGACCGCTTCATCATGAACCGATTCTCTCAAATCAAAGTGACAACCTCCACAATCATAGCAAACGTCTTCGAAGATCGCTTTATCACAAACCGCTCCTCTTAAATCAAAGTGACAACCCCCACAATCATAGCAAACATCGTCGAAGACCGCTTCATCACGAACCGCCCTCCTCAAATCAAAATAACAACCCCCACAATCATAGCGAACGTCATCGAAGACCATTTCATCTCGAACTGCCCTTCTCAAATCAAAGTGATAACCTCCCTAATCATAGAAAAAGCTACCAAATATCACTTCATCTCGAACAGCCTTTCTCAAATCAAAGTTATTATCTCCCCAAGAATGGCAAAAGCTATTGTAGAGCACTTCATCTCGAACCGTCCTTCTCAAATCAAAGTGACAGACCTTTAAATCTTAGAGCACACTGTCGAAGACTTCTTCATCTTGAGTTTTCAAATTTTCTTGTCTTTACAGAGAAGTAATTGTCCTTTTCAGCTTTGGAAAATATATTGCAAGAATCATATCTTAAGATTCTACAAGCTTTAAATTGATTTTCATAGAAATAGTCCAATCCTAGGGATTCTTTGTGATCATAATCAATCACTACTAAAATGTTCTTAATCAGTACTCAAATGTACTCAATCAATAATGTAATTGTCATCAGGATGATCATCAATCAAATTGTAACTGGAATGATCACTAATCAAAGGTGTGATTTCAGAGGTGTTTACTTAATGTGTAATCAAATTGTGACCGTCATTAGGCTAATCATCAATCAAAACTATAATCTGGCCAATTACTAATCAAATCAAATATCTATTAATTACTCATTATGAGGCTAAAAATGATCAAATGCTCATCAAAAGGCTCGAATGGATTATTCATGGACCAACCAGCCAAGTTGTGGGACCCTCAAAAGCTGACGCAAGCGAAATCAGAGCCATTGCGTAGCAACAGGTCTATCACGCTACATCAAAGTGTATTGCACCACATGAAGGTGTATCGCGCTGCGCTTGAATCAAAGTCAGAGTTTATAAAAATTTCTCTGCTCGTTTAGTTTTGCTGATGTTGCTTGTGTATTTTTGTTCATTTACACTCAATTAAATTGCCTCTAATCTTTTGTAAAAGTTGCTCGTCTGCTAAAGACTTAGTGTACCTGCATCTATGTTTTGAACTATAAGATTTTTCTCATGTTTACAGTTATCTTGAAGTTGACCCAAGGCTTGGTGTTTCTTAACTCATTATGTGACTCAATGTGTTTAAATCAACTTGTCTCACTTTGTGACACGTATGTGCAGACTCAACTCAATATGGTATGAAATGACTTAATGTGCAGACTTAAAAAAGAAAAAAATTCTATCAATTTTGTGGAGGGTACCGACTTTCTCTCGAAAAAGATAGACGTGAAAAGAATGAAGGTGAAATGTTGGTGAAAGGTGAAGTTTTGATCTTCCTCAAAAGGAAAAGAAAAATAATGAATCAAGCAATGGTGTATGTTGAATGAGCTTATTCAACTGTATGCCTTAATATTGCATCTCATGGTGCAAGGATTGTAGCGTCTTAGGCTATCTCAGGTGATGACTCGATGATGAGAGTATTTGAGTAACTTAGGCGCAGAGGGGTTAAGTACTTTGTACTTTGTGGTGCAATGATGATTATGATAATAAGTGATGAATGATTATAAGATGACAAGGCATGTTTCAAAGTTGTATCAAGATTTTCTAAGAAAGATTTCCTAAGGGAAGGATTATTTGCCAATTTATTTGTGATATGCTTGAAAGTGACACTACGGTTAGGATGCAAAGGCTAAGGGTGTGTAAAAACATTTTTAGAAGAGTCAAATGATGATGACTCTTAGGGAGGGTAGGCTAATGAAGTAGGGATCAAGCCCCCAAGTCAAGCTCTTAATTGATAGGGATGAGCATTTGGAGATCCCTTGATATGATCATGTATAAATGTAAATATGAATGTGAATGTATGATTACTATGGCCGCACTCCAGTGTGGGGTTGCCTACGTATCCGCTAGGAATCAGGTCGAACGCTAACTATAGTTGAACCTCGCACAAGTGTATGTATACCTCAAAGAGGTCTTTCAAGGGTTGTAACGGGGTTAGGATAAAGGTTGAAGAAGAAAGGATAAAGGATCAAGACTTAAAATAAGCCCCCAATATGTGCAACCTTGATTTTGAATCTTGGTATTTGTATGCTTGAGATTTTTTCACTTTTGAACTCTATTTTCTTTTTATTATACTCTCTTTGTTTTCTTATGCATTTTTTTTTATTTGGATAAGTGTGGGCAATCCCGATCATGCGGTCTATCACTCACTTGGAACTCATGTTTCCTAGGTACGGTGTCTTGCACTCGATGAGAGACTCAATCTGAGACGTGTTCATAACAAAGACATGTTTATATCAAAGACATTAGAACACTTGCCCTTTTGCACACTTTTAATTCTTTTTTTTAACTTCCAAAATTTTCTTTGGTAAAAACCACACAAGCTTTTATATAGGGAAATCACATAAGTTGCACGCTATCCCATCCAAAGGTCAAGTAGATGTGGGTTGAAAATATTGTTAAATGAGGCTCAAAATAGTTTATAAAGAAAGGATTATGTAATCCAAAGGGTGAAGGTGATACGATGTGGTTACAAGGGGTCCTCAAATCATTGGTATACATTGTGCTTAGTTCGGCATAAATTTTATTTTATTTTATTATTTTTTTAATGCAATGCAGTGATCATATGCAAGGAAATTAATGCTCATTTTATTAAAATGAAAAGGGAAAATAAATCAAACTCATGAAATAAATCTAATTAATGATGGAGTGTGCCTATGCTATACTTATTGGGGAAAGGGAAATTAAAAATAAGAAAAGAAATCATGAAATCTTCGTCATTAAAGCGCGCCTCATGCTTTGTGCTTATCACCACTTGGTATTCTTGCCAGCTGGAGGGAACAGAATCTTTTGCATCGATGAGATCTTAGATAAGTTTTTGAAACTTATGACATTCATTTTTAGTTTCACCGTTGCCTCAATAGTACTTGCAATAGGATTCAGGGTTCCATTAGGGTGTTCTCCTTTCAGGACGAGGATCTTGCATTGATTCAATGGGAGTGATGAGTCATTTGGCATGAAGACGATCAAAGACGATATTGTAGCTTATTCTAATTGGAGTGAACTTTCTTTCTGGTTCTTTGGTCTGTAAAACATCTTTGTCAAGATCCCAGTTCATCAATGTAACTGCCATTTTGATGGGAAGAAGCAGAAGAAGGATTGCTGTTTTTCCTGCTTTTGCCATTATCGCCATTGTTCTTGGCCTTCTTGTTGCTCGGAGGAACATGAAGGCAATTTGAACCAATGAGGTCTTGAATGCGATCTTTCAGGGCGAAGCACTTTTCGGTGGTGTGACCATGGCCTTTTTGATATTTGCAATAGGAGTTTGGATCCCAATTGGAAAGTTGTTTCTCAGGTACTAGATCTTGGATTGGACTAACGGGGTGAATGAAACCTTGACCCTAGAGGTAGTTGAAAGCTTAATTATAGGTCATTCCTATTGGTGTGTATTCATCAATGGTCCTTTTTTATCGCGACTTAGGAGCATTGAGTTTTTCGTTATGTCCTTCATGGGAGGAAGAAGAAGGAGGATACTCGTTCTTTTCATTCTTTCGATCCTAGCAATGAGAGTGTTGTTTGATGATCGACATCCGATTCACTAGGACTTCTACCACACTCATAAGCATGGGTACGACATCTCGTAGTTTGCGAACGTCTTCTTTTAGACTTGACGAGTTTTCCCTGGTATCACCCGAGAAAATATATCTTCTTGACTGGCCATTTTCTTTGTCAAATCGGTTTATCAAAGAGTAGTACTTGAACAAGGGTGTTATCCTTGAGTAACCGCCATTCTCTCCTTAACCAAGTGATGTGGACAAGGAAGTCATGGATACTCATTGTTAATTATTTGAGTCAAACTCGATTTAATATGCATAGATGGGAAAAGATCATGGTGTATGAGGAAAATGTTATTCATGGAGAAAGCATGTAATATGAAGGTGGTGTATGAATTTGGAAAATGTGAAAGAAGGAAAGTGTGAGATATGTAATGTATGGTAAAGTGATGTAGATGGAAAAATTGGAAGAATTCAGAAATTGAATAAACCCTGAACTCAAATGATGGAAAGGTGACTCATGCATATATGGACCTAAGACATGGCCATGGTGTAAAAACAAAAAAAGTACGTACAAAGTGTATGCTAAGACTTGTGAGTGAAAGTGATATGTTCAAGATTCGTGTAATAACCATGTGACTAGACATGTAATTAGACTCAGACAAAGACTAAGCTAAGACTGTTTGATGAAAATTAACTAATCATGTGAATTAGACTCGACTTGAAGACTCAAAAAAAAAAGATCGAACCATCGCATAGCAATATAACTATCGCGGAGCGTCAGCTCCATCGCGCGATATAAATATCGCTTGGCGATGGACGGTGATGCTTTGCGTCACAAGTCAAACCTCCGCGTCGAGACTGGAACGTAACTTGTTTTCGTTATTCTTACAAATAGGTAAGCTTGTAGTCTTGCTAAAATTTGAATTTAATGAATAAATTAATCAATTAAGCAAAGTCCTTTAGTCATTGGTTAGTTTATTAAAACATTATTTACAAACACGAGTCAACACAAACGGTTAGTTTAATCACAGGTAAGGTATGCACAAATAAGGAATGCACAAGTAGTAGAGTAGTCACAACATGATGCAATGTGCTTGTAACCTAACCATGGCTCTAGTTCTCGAAAGTTCAAAGATTATGGTAGTCAAAGAAGGTCCATGGTTATGAGTCCGGATGCGTCGCGTGAAAGGCATACTTTTGGAAGGGTTGACGCGTATGGATGGGACCCCGCAAGTTAGACTTGCTTCCATGATTTGGTGAATTCACAAATTTGAATGTACCCGTCGTTGCACAGAGCGTTCGATTGAGTAGATGGAGTGTGAATTCCCAAGGGCTAAAACATATGTAGAGCACATATAGGTTTCATAAAAGAAGGAAAAATTCAATCAGGAAGTAGAATCGGCTAAACAGTATTAGAATCGATTAAAACAAGAAGGAAGATTTATGGCTCGGTGTTGGAAAAACTAGGCGCAAGAAAATAGGGTCCATCGTGCATCGATGGACACTGTTTCTTCTTGACAATTCCTACACTCCTCCCATATTTCTATGCTCTCGGGATTTTCCGGTTCTCGTAATATTTTTTTCGATTCTAGTTGTGAAAGATATTTCCCAATTTTCCTACGCGTAAAAATCTTATGTTTTTGACGCATTACAGATGGTCTTTCTAATGCGGACCTTTTATGCTTATGACACAATGTTAATCAAAATTACTAGAGTTGTCAAAAACCAACCCGAACTGGTGAATCCGAACCGTTATGAACTGTTCCGAAAGGTAATTGAACCGCTAAGACCTGTTATTTTAAAATCGTAAATCGATCCAACCCGGATTTTTAAAACCTGAAATTGAACGAATCCGAATGTTTGAGAACCGTTAATAAACCGTACTTGTTATCATGACGAACTGATACAACCCAAAACCGAGAACAACTCAAACTGATTACTTCCGAACCCGATAACAACCCGACCCATTGTAAACTAAAACCGTTTAAACCCGATAAAAACCCGATAAACCCAAATCGTTTACAACTTGTAACTGGTTAGGATTAAACCATTTATAACCCGTAATAAGTTATGACCAAACCGTTTAAAACCCGTACCCGGTTATAACCGAACCATTTATAATCCGTAAGTCCGTAACCAGTTATGACCGTAGAGTTTTTTTTTCTTTTTTTTCGGTATATTTTATCAATAGTAAAACAAAAGGGTTTAATTTGAATTACAAAGTATTTATATTGAAAAGGTTTGGAATTTTGATGTCATTGAAACTCTTATGCTAAAATATTATTGTCCTCTAACGAGTAATGGCTTATGGAACACTATATTGTATTAAAAATCTAAATCAAAAGCTAACATTAGATTTGTTATTATTATTTGGTCCTTAAAGTCATTATACAAAAAAGGGACATAAAGTTAAACAACTAAGGGTCTGTTCTCATAGGCAGTTGAACTGAACTGAACTAAGCTGAACTGAACTGAACTAAACTGAAATGAATATTTTATAAAAGAAGAAAAATAGGAGCTAAACTAAACTAAACTAAACTTACTTGAACTGAACTGAACTGACCTGACTTGAACTGAAAATAAATGTATGAGCTGAGAACAGACCCTAATTAATATTCAGTATGATCTACTGGAATAACTAATTAAAGAATATTGAGGATATACTAGATGATACTTCCTCCGTTTTCTTTTACTTGCAACACTTCCCTAAAAAGGAAATGTCACAATACTTGCAACACACTATAAAAGGAAAGTTACTTTAGAGAAAAACTATATTATATTCCTTATTTTAAGCACATGGCCCACTAAATTACACTTCTAACAACCACTCATCCTATTGTAAATTTTATTATATCATCTAAACCCCACCTTTCTTAATTACCGTGCTAAAGGGTGTGTTGCATCTAAAAGAAAACGGAGGAAGTATATGTTAACAAAACCCGTTTAAAACTGGCAAAACCTGTTGTCAAACCGACTGAGTTCAACTCGAACCGATTACAATTCGAACCGATTAGGACTCGATATGTGTTGACACAAAACCTGCTTTGAACTGACAAACCCCGTTTTTAAACCGAGCAAATTTAGCGAATCGATTATGATCCGAACCAATTATAACCTGACCCGATTAGAATCCGACCTGAAAAGAAACTGTAATAAAAATAAACCGAACCAAAACGACATTAAATTATTTAAAATCGACCCGCAATGACCCGTTAATAATTCCAATACATTAAAAACCGGCCCGTTACAAACCAAAAACCAATAAACCAAACCCAAAACTGAACCGAAAACCCAATTGGCATCCCTAAAAATTACACACATGAATAGTTAGTACGTTTCAAGTCTCATCTACTCATTCTGAATCAATTGCCAAAATAACTTTTAGGAACTAATAGAAATCGTTCTTAGTGGAGTCGCCAAAAAATTTTAGGGAATATTCCAAACATCAACTTTAAGCCCCACCGTGGTCATGCATTTAAACATGGTGGCGTCCAAATGGTAAGATGCGCTAGATCAAAAGAGTCGCCAACAAGTGTTAGGAACCAGGGGCGAAGCCAGCCCGGGACAAGAGGGGATAGATGTCCCCCATTTTTAAAAAAATTAGTTAAATATTATTTCATGCACAATAATAAAAAAAAATTAGGGAATATTCCAAACATCAACTTTAAGCCCCACCGTGGTCATGCATTTAAACATCGTGGCGTCCAAATAGAAAGATGCGCTAGATCAAAAGAGTCGCTAACAAGTGTTAGGAACCAGGGGCGAAGCCAGCCCGGGAAAAGAGCGAAATTAGTTAAATATTAATTCATGCACAATAATAAATACAAGAAGTTAGATGGTGAAGTGGTATAACTCTAGTAGCGTGAGTTGCTCAACGCGTGATCAGTACCTACATGCAACTCTTTACTTTTTTTTTTTCCTTTCTTTTTGAAAGATTATTTTACCTGATTTTTTAGTTAAACACTTAAAAGCATTTTAGGGTTTTTTTTTCTGTAATCTTTTGTTCACTTTTTCAATTTTACCTTTTTGCTTTCTTTAATTTTTTGTATATGTCTAAGACAATTTGCCTTTCATTATTTTTAACAATAAGTATGGTTAAGGGATAACAATAAATGCATTTAATTACTATATTATCCGATGTTCAAATTCGTCAAAAATTCAATCTCATAAGTAAATATTTACATGGAAAAATGCTAACGAACGCCCCGGGGACGTTGGATAAGCTAGTTAAAAGTAGAAAGATTAAATTAAAATGAACATTAATTACACCGATCGACACATGATTTTGTCATGCTTTCCCAAATTAATACTATTTTAGGTAAGATTTTAAATGCTTATCCAGCGCCCCAGGGGCGTTGGTTAGAAAGATCCTATTAACATTATTCAAATACTAATAATGTACCATCGGAAGAGGAATAATTAGTATATGATGTAATATTCTTTAGTAAGTATTTTGGATTTTGTAAAACTTTAATTATTTAACTAATTGTTTTTGACAGAATTATTTAACTAATTATGTATTCAAGTATTGATATTTTTTTCCACGACATTTTTGTCAAACTATATGACATCATTTGTCCCTCGGGATAGAAATTTCTGGCTTCGCCACTGCTAGGAACTCGTAAATCGTTCACGGGTTTGAAGCTTACACCCTATTCACGATCACAGAGATC